CAAGTTTCGCAGCTGGTGTTTCCATCAGGCTAGCGCAGCAGAACGTCACCACAGGCATATGTGAAGCATCTCATTGCTGCAAGAAAAAAAATAGAAGTGTGAGGTTAAACATGCCAGAATCAATACATAACAATGAGTCACACACACTGCAGCAGCACTTACATTCTAGGATGTCTACTGCAAAACGAAATGTGAAAAAAGGAAGGTTCGGCCAAACGTTACTTGGCAAGCCATATAAATGCTGATGTGGCAGACGCTCTTCACATGATGTCTCAGACAGCAATATTCTGGAAGAAAATGTGCAGCACCTCAACAAGGCATATTTGTAGTAGCTAAAGATACCCATAGGTTCAGTTAACTTGTTTCCTATACACAGCTGAGTGACATTTCTATGAGCCCATTCACCAATGGGCATTCTAAATGAGGTCATGTGTGTGGCAAATAACACGTACTGTCCGCTCATTTTAAAATACTTATTTAGCTCGTGCACATAGTTGCTCTTGATTCTACTGTTCTATCATACGCTGCTGCGTCTTGAATTGTGCAATACCTGTAGGCACAAGCCAAGCATGCAAAGCCTGCTTGAAAGCAACCATTTGCAGAGGCTACATGATAATCTTCAGTATATTTCTTTGTACCTGACGCAAACGGCTGGACAAAACTATAGACAAATAAATGTAGACCGTGCTACCTTCAAAAAATGCTTTAAATTTAGAAAACTAGGGTGCATTTGTTCACTCGGTTGACGAGTCACAGCCACGATATATGTAAACGAAGCAATATATCTTAAGGCATGCACAGATATTCTGATTCTTTGTTTGACAGTGTCACAGATAGCTTGCCAATACATATATATTTGAGAGCAACAAGATGTGAAGCTTTTATTAGTTCAACGTCTTGTTGGTTCACAGCCAAACAGGTTACTGCTTGTTAGACAAATTGGAATAAGCACACCATGGTTTCCAAGAAAAAAAAAAGCATTATTAGAAGTTAACTCCCGGTGTGAATGTCTGCCTATTTATTTTGTACTGCCTTCTACATGTGCCACAAAGACATTTGTTGAGGATGTGCTACCAGTCAAGCCAAGATCGCATACTTGGTTAATGTGATGGAAATACAAACATTAGAAACACTGCCACCTCTAGTAAGAGCATAACACTTCAGTATCTTGGACTAGCAAAGAGATGCACAAGAAAGTTAAGCCCACTCTTGCGGAACTTTGAACGCGAATATTTCAGAGTGGGGGAGGTCAACATGCTGTGGCACTTTTAAACCCACGAAACATCTGCAGAAAACAGGGTAAAGGCAAGTCAAGAAACACTGTTATGAAGGCCTGCGCATGGACAGCTTTGTGAATCTAGGCCCAAGTGTTATGCTTTGTGCAAGCCAAAATCCATGTAAATAGGGAGAGCATACTTTTAGGAGTACCAGCGTAAAGAAATCTTGGCAGTTGGCTTTTTAGTACAAACAGCAATCCCTGCAATGAAAACATAAACATTTTATCTTAACGGTAACAGTGTGAGCACACACACGGGCCAGCGGAGCCATGTCGAATTGTCAGTGCCAGTCTAACCATGTGGCATAATGAACTATTCTCTGGCCAACACATGCACAATTTGCCCCTAAAAAGCGATGCTTTCATATACGTAGTACAAAAAGTCTGCACTTACCAAAATTCACTTGCTTTCTGTACTTTAGCATCGTTGGGAGCATCTTTATCTGCAGTATAACCAAATTTGTGTCATATCACTGAAAAAAAAGTAAAAGACATGCATCAAATATTGTTTCATTTGGTAGCAGTGAAGTCAGGTTAAGAACAGCCAAGTGGGAATCAGCCTAATTATGTGCATGCGGCAAATCCCAAACGGCGTTATTGAGGTTGTCGAAATTTTCGTCGGTCGGTATTAACGTCGATATGTGACTTCAACGGCATGCCAAGTTTTCACAGCGCATAAAGATTTCATGATGCAGAATAATGACAGCGCTAACGAGAACATACAGCATTTATGATTGTCTTTTACAATATTCAGTTTTGCTAAGGTTTTGCATCACTAAAGAAATCTGCAAGATTTGGGTCATTCCTCCTCCAATTGTTCTGTCAATATGTAAACTGCTCGCTTGATGGTGCGCTTATAAAATAGTACGTTCAGCGCAGAGGTGAAGCAAGTGACGCAGTGATGTGAGCAGATTTTTTTTTTTTAGGCGTGCGGGGAGGGGGGGGGGGGTCCGTTTATCTGAATAGGCCGGGCAAGCGAATATGGTCGTCAATTTGGGCTCCCTACGCCCGGCCTAAAAAAATTCTGTGCGCAACCGCCTGGCTATGCCAGTGAAGTGATGCGACAATGATTTGTTCACTTACTGATTTACATACACTTTACATCTCTAAAAAATGCGGCCCAAGGCCCCAACACTCAGCCGTTAACATTACATAAAGCCAATGGTAGAAAAGTGCCAGTATGAATGCAGCTACAACCCCGCCCCAATGTTTTTTCAAGCGAGGTAGTGTTGCGGAAATGAACTTTTAACTGCAAAAGTACACTGGCACTGCAGTGGTGACAGGGGAAGCAAGAGGATATGCAGGCGGTAATAGAGGTAATTTAGTCCGATACGGCTAGCAATGGATACGGTGAATAAGAGCACATAATTTCTCTTTCAATAGCGCAACCACTCAACAATGTATTGTAAGAGCATTAAATGTTGCTGGAAATGCCACTCACCTGCACGCTGATGCATGCTCAGTCGTTTGTCCGACGAGCGAACAGGCTTGCAGATAGCTGAAGACGTGTTTACGATGTGTTTGTTCCACCCAGCAGCAAAATCCACAACTACTTCGCGCTCCATAAAGATAAATATACACTAACCTTCATCACGAATAAGTAGAAACGCAAATCTGCGACACACACACACGATCAAAACATAGCCCACAAGCCCGCACGTCCATGTGCTCGCCAACCACAGACCATATGAAAATGAGTAAGTAGTGCGAACGCGAACCTAGTTGCGCCGAAAAAAAAAAAAAAACGTCGAGCAGTGGCAGCACAGGCGTCAGCGCAATAATTTCAGTGTGTTCTCCTAATACAATTATAAAAAAAACTGAGGTACACTAAAACTCATAAATAAATATAAAAAGTTGAGTGTAATTTTTATTTAGTGCTAGTCAACATAAACACTGAATAAAAATTACTTTGTACCTTACATCGTTTGCTACACTAGCGCCACAATTGTCGTGCGGGCGCAGATGGCGCAGATTTGTCATTCTGCCCTCAAAGTACACGGTGAAGCGTGCTACTAAGTGTATGGCTGATGAGAAGCGCGTCTGGGTCCGCTTTTTTTTTTTCTTCTCCGATATATCTGGGCGGGGGGGGGGGGGGGGGGCTCCTTATGCACGTGTTTCGGTGCTTGATCGACTTTGACGCCCTTACTTCGCGGACGAACGGCGTGTCTAGGCTTTTTTTTTTTATCGTTGTTTTGCACGTGTTTCGGCGTTCGGTCCGCTTTGACGTGCCAACTCTCCATCCTGCTGCTGCGTGTGTTAGGTATTTGCCGTACTGTATTCTCAGGCCTTCTGTGTTCAGCCAGCGCTGCTATCTTATTATCTACGGATGCTAAAATAAATCACTGTTTTGGTTTGGTGAAGTTTGGCACACAGAACAAACAATAATCTGGCCCATGAATATCAATGTGGGCGGCATGCATATTTGTGTGCGGTGTCCTGCCGGGGAGTAACCGTTGCGTGACGAGAGCATTTACAGCGGTTCCTCCTTCCGTTGCTCCCTTACAAACTTAAGATGAATACAGTTGCTCCCCCATTCTCGAACAAGTCGGCCATCTTGTTCCGCTTGGTCTTTTCGGAGAGTAACAGTCGGTCGGAAGGAGTAAAAACAGCCGTTGCTCCCATTTTGGCCATTTTTGGCTTAGAGTGTACGTGTAAGCCGGGCGCCAGCGGCGAGACCAAGACGAAGACGCCCATCAGCCCGCCCGCAGCCATGGCCCTCAAGCTTCCGGATTTTGCAGAGGAGACAGATAAGTGGCAAGCGTATCTCGTTAAGATTGACGCCTACTTCGAAGCGAACGAAGTTACGGACGACGCGAAGAAAAGGGCCTTGTTGGTGGCTGCGTTAGGATCGAGGACCGTTGAAATCCTTTGCGGCAGAATCGCACCGCGAAAACCAAGCTCGCTGAGTTACGAAGAAGTTGTTTCAACCTTGAACGAGCACTATGATCCGTCCCCTAACGAGATATCAGAAAGCTTCAAGTTCTTTCACCGAAACAAACAAGAAGGGGAGTCCGTGCAGGCGTTTATCGTCGAGATTCGCAAGCTAGCGCATAACTGCAACTTCTCTTCAATGTTGGAGCGAATGCTGAGGGACCGCATCGTTTGTGGAGTGCGCTCGAAAAACCTGCAGAAACAACTATTAGCCAAAAAGGACTTGACGCTGGCAGAAGCGGAAGCACTAGCTCTAGCAGCCGAAAGCGCGGAGTTAGGGTCGCAACAGATGACCGGGCAAGGTGACGCCGTTGGGGTGTTCAACGTGCAGCGTAGCAGGCAACCCGAAATCAGCAGGAGCGAACGGAGCAGCTTATCGCAGCACTGCAGCTGCTGTGGCAAACAGGGACATCAAGCCAGGGAATGCTCATTACGACGGCGCAGGTGCTACAAATGTGGGCGACAAGGTCACTTGGCGCGAGTATGCTCCCGGACAGCCACCACCAACAGAACCTTCGCGATAACAGAGTGTTCAGCGGAAAGTGAAGATAACGATTGTAACGCACTACAAATATGGTCAGTGAAGGGTAATGGAAGCCTGGTTCCGCCCCTACACAAGCAGGTTACATGGAACGGAGTGCCACTGAATATGATAATCGACACAGGTTCACCTGTCTGCGTAGTGCCTAAAGCGATATACAAAGCCTATCGTCATAAGTGGCCACCGCTTTGTAAAGCCGCATTAACTCTGTCATGCTATCTTGGGAAGATACCAGTGCGGGGCATTGTCAAAATGCAAGCTTCCTACAAGTCTGCAACAGTTGACTGCGATCTCGTTGTGTTAGACTGCGAAGGTCCTAGCCTTTGCGGCCGTGACCTGTTACAGATGCTCGAGACACAAGGGGCACCGCTTCTTCACATCGCGTCACTCTCATCGGACGGGAAGCTGGAGAGTCGGACAGCGGCACCCGTGCTGGAACAGTACGCAGACCTTTTTGCGGAGGGCCTGGGAGCCATCAAGGGACCACCAGCACGGCTTCATATAAAGTGTAGTGGAGCATACGCACCAACGCGTATGCGCCTTCGGAAGACAACGAAAAGCCCGTGCTCTGATTGCGCGAGAACCTGTGCCGCCATTTCCAGACTTGCTGTTCGCCCATTTTCCGTCGCGACTTCGTTGCCGCTCCTCTGTTCCATTAAACATCATCGCATTTGGTGGAGGCTGCTGAGATCCCAAGGCAGACCTGGAGCTCCGCTCTCGCAAGTTGGCCGAAAGACCACCGTACAACATGACTGACGCAGTCGCCAACCAGCCCATCCCAGCACAGCCAGCACCATCGGCTGCCCCGTCGACCTGCCCCGGTGCTACCCGTCAGCGGGACCCACCAATCTTCAGCGGCAGTGGTGAGCAAGACGTCGAAGACTGGCTCTCCTTATACGAACGCGTGAGTGCCAGCAACAAATGGGACAATGACTCTAAGCTTGCCTATGTTATCTTTTACTTGGCTGACGTCGCCAAGCTATGGTTCACCAACCGCGAAACCGCCATCGCCAGCTGGTCCACCTTTAAGACCCTCGTGACCGAAGCGTTCGGCCGACCAGAGGTCCGCAAGCTCCGCGCTGACCAGCGTCTGCGCCACCGAGCCCAGCAGCCTGGCGAGACCTTTACTAGCTATATTGAGGATGTGCTCGACCTCTGCAAGCGTGTTAACTCATCCATGCCTGAAGAAGAGAAAATTCGACATATTCTTAAAGGCATCGAGGATGGCGCATTCCAGATGTTGCTGGCGAAAAGCCCGACCACAATAGCAGCCCTCGTAAGCCTGTGCCAGAGCTTCGATGAATTGCGTCGTCAGCGTTCCATCGCCCGACAGAGTGTCCCATCACCAGATTCAATCTCGGCCGTCGCACTCGCAAATGGCAACGTTCACCAAGGAACTCTGTCGAACCAGATTAAAGACTTCATCAGGGAGGAAGTCGCCCGACAGCTCTCCCTGCTGCCGCATAGCGACGCGCCCACGACAAGCCTCCCTTCGAATATGCAGCAGGCCATACGCACTGAAATTTGCAATGCCCTCCCTACAGTTCCGGCCTCTTACCCATGCACTTCGGTGCCATCTGATCTCTCAACTGCTGGCTACGCACCAACTGCGCCGCCTTCACCTCTCAGCTACGCAGCTGTGGTCGCGCGGCCCCCACCGCATCCAGTCGCCTTATCGGCTCCACCTCCTCCGGCCTCGCCTCCAGTTTACAGGCCCCCACCTCGCTTTTTCCGTCCATCTAATGAGTGGCGCACCCGAGACAATCGTCCCATCTGCTTCGCGTGTGGCATCGCTGGCCACATTGCACGCTTCTGCCGCCGCCGTCCCACACCTGCGCACGCATACTTCGGAGCTCCTACCTACGCACCGCAGCAGACTACCACGTCTAGATATGAACAGAGACACTCCGACTCGGATCACCATCCATCGACTGCTCGTTTCTCATCACCTCGTCGCCGATCGCCATCGCCTATGCGTCGTCGACCACCTCCTGAGGAGGGAAACTAATCAGTGCAGTTCCGGAGGCAAGAACTGCACCTTGTGCGCAATTCCCAAGGCCTCCATTTTCGCCGCAAAATGTTGTTGATGTCGATGTTGAGGGAGTCGCCACATTAGCGTTAATTGATACCGGGGCCGCCGTTTCTGTGATGAACGCAAAATTTTGTAGGAAGCTGAAAAAAGTGACCACATCTCTCAGTGGCATGGTGCTGTCCACGGCTAGCGCGCAACGCATTCATCCCTCGGCTGTGTATACGGCGCGCGTCGTCATCCGAGACGTTTTGTACGTCGTACAGTTTTTTGTTCTACCATCTTGCTCTCATGACCTTATCCTGGGTTGGGATTTCTTATCACGTCATGAAGCTATCATTGATTGTTCCCGTGCCGAAGTGTCCCTTGTGCCAACATGTGAATTTACACCACCCAACCACTCTCCTCTGCTCTGCAAACTCACCGCTGATGACGACATCACCTTGCCTCCTGAAGCTTCGGTCCCTATTGGCCTTTCATGTGTGGCGCAACCTGACGGCACGGTGGTGTTTACGCCATCTCCGGTTTTTACTGAACGCAAGGGCATCGTTCTCCCATTTGCTGTTCTTACAATTGCATCTGGTTTAACCGTAATGCTGGTCACCAACCACTGCAACTACCCCATTGGCTTACTTCGTGGTGAAACGTTAGGATATGTGCAACCTGTCGACCATATCGATGATATTATTCTTCCCGACGAAACGCCATGTCACATTGCTGCAATCACTCATGCGTCTGAGCCGTCAAGTTCGTCAGCCTTCGACAATGCTATTGACGCAGACCTTCCCCTCTCGCATCGCCGCCAACTTGTTGCTCTCCTTAACAAGTTTCGTTCTTCTTTCGACTTTCAAGAACCTGCTTTGGGCCGCACCACGACTATCACTCATACTATTGACACCGGCTCACATTCGCCTCTGCGACAGCGCCCTTACCGCGTTTCCGCCGAAGAGCGCCGCGTCATTACGGAGCAAGTAGATGACATGCTTAAACGTGGAGTGATACAGCCTTCTCAAAGCGCTTGGTCATCACCTGTGGTTCTGGTCAAGAAAAAAGATGGCACCGTACGATTTTGCGTGGACTATCGCCGCTTAAACAATATTACGAAAAAAGATGTCTACCCGCTACCACGAATAGACGATGCTCTTGACTGTTTACAAGGCGCCGAGTACTTTACATCTTTGGATCTGCGTTGTGGGTATTGGCAGGTGCCAATGGCTGAATGTGATCGCCCTAAAACAGCCTTTGTAACGCCGGATGGCCTATATGAGTTCAAAGTCATGCCATTTGGGCTCTGCAACGCGCCTGCCACATTTGAGCGCATGATCGACACCATCTTGCGTACCCACAAGTGGAAAACCTGCTTATGTTACCTGGACGACATCGTAGTCTTTTCATCTGATTTCCCGACACATCTTGCTCGCCTCCACGAGATTCTGACGTGTCTAACTTCTGCAGGCCTACAACTCAACTCCAAGAAGTGCCACTTCGCAGCACGAAAACTAACCATCTTGGGACATGTCATCACAAGAGACGGTGTTCTTCCGGATCCCGATAAGCTTCAAGCTGTCGCTGACTTTCCGTTGCCCACATCACTGAAAGCCCTAAGAAGTTTCGTCGGTCTCTGCTCTTACTTTCGTCGCTTCGTGCGCAACTTCGCGTCCATCATCGCACCTCTCACGAGTCTGCTTTCCAACAGCAAAGGCATATCTGCATGGTCACCTGCATGTGACGATGCATTTCGCCAGCTGCGCCGCCTGCTGACCTCACCACCTATTCTTCGTCACTTCGACCCTGCTGCGGCCACAGAAATTCACACCGATGCAAGTGGCATCGGTCTCGGTGCAGTTTTGGCACAACGGAAAGGCACCCAAGCTGAATACGTAGTCGCCTATGCAAGTCGCGCTCTCAAGAAGGCTGAATTGAATTACTCCGTGACAGAGAAGGAGTGTTTGGCCATAATCTGGGCGTTGACGAAGTTTCGCCCGTACCTTTACGGCCGTCCTTTCGACCTGGTCACAGACCACCACGCTCTATGTTGGCTGTCCACCTTGAAAGACCCGTCCGGACGCCTGGGGCGTTGGGCACTTCGATTGCAAGAATACGACATCCGTGTCGTATATCGTTCCGGTCGCAAACATGCGGATGCCGATGCACTTTCGCGATCGCCATTGACACCAGATGTGGCTTCCTTGTCTCCCCCTTTTACCACCTTGTCACCACTCGACACGACTGACATGCTTTCGGAGCAGCGTAAAGACCCATACCTTGCCTTGTTAGTCGACTACCTTACCGATCCGTCTGCTGTCCCTTCCACGAGAGCGCTACGCCGGCAAGCAGCCCACTTTTCCTTACGAGACAACATTCTGTACCGCCGCAACTACATGCTTGGTGGTCGGAAGTGGCTCCTTGCTGTCCCAACTCATATGCGCTCTGACATCTGCATGAATTTCCATGCAGATCCCCAAAGTGCTCACGCAGGGGTCCTGAAAACCTACGAAAGGCTGCGCCAACGCTATTACTGGCGAGGAATGTATCGCTTTGTGCAGAAATACGTTCAGTCTTGCACCACTTGCCAACAGAACAAGACACCTCCGCGGCACCTTACTGGCACGTTACAGCCGCTACCGTGCCCGGCTCGCCCATTCGACCGCGTGGGTATAGACCTATATGGCCCCCTCCCATATAGTAGCTCTGGAAACCGGTGGATTATTGTCGGAGTCGATCATCTGACACGCTACGCTGAGACTGCAGCTCTACCGGCAGCCACCGCCCACGAAGTTGCACTCTTCATTCTCCGCAGCTTCATTCTACGTCATGGTGCTCCGCGGGAATTGCTCAGTGATAGGGGTCGAGTGTTCCTGTCGGAGGTCATCCAAGCTATCCTCGCTGAATGCAACATTATCCACCGGAAATCTACCGCATACCATCCACAGACAAATGGTCTTACTGAGCGGTTCAACCGCACACTTGGCGACATGCTGAGGATGTACACCTCCTCCGACCACACTAACTGGGACGCTGTATTGCCCTTTGTTACCTTCGCTTATAACACCGCGACGCAAGCGACTACCGGTTTTTCCCCGTTCTTTCTATTGTACGGCCGCGAACCTTCCCACCCACTCGACACTATACTACCGTACCGCCCTGATGCATCTGAGTGCTCCCCGCTTTCGGAAGTCGCCAGATACGCTGAAGACTGCCGCCAGTTGTCTCGGTCTCTGACAAGTGAGGCTCAAGGTCTACAAAAGACTCGACACGACGACGCTCACCGCATAGCTCCTACATTTCGTGCTGGCTCCCTTGTGTGGCTTTGGGTGCCCCCGCACGTTTCTGGCCTGTCTTCAAAACTTCTGGCCCGGTACCATGGTCCCTACCGTGTCATTGACGCGACCTCCCCGGTGAATTACATCATCGAGCCATTAACACAATCACCAGATTTGCGCCGTCGAGGACGCGAGACCGTACACGTCGACCGGCTCAAGCCCTACTACGACCCCCTCATTGTGCCTATTCCCTGAGTCGCCAGGATGGCTACCCTTCACCCCGGGGGTATTGTAGTGGAGCATACGCACCAACGCGTATGCGCCTTCGGAAGACAACGAAAAGCCCGTGCTCTGATTGCGCGAGAACCTGTGCCGCCATTGCCAGACTTGCTGTTCGCCCATTTTCCGTCGCGACTTCGTTGCCGCTCCTCTGTTCCATTAAACATCATCGCAAAAGGACGGAGCAACCCCAAGGTTCTGTAAGGCAAGAAAAATTCCATTTTCTTTGCTAGACAAAGTGTCCGCCGAGCTAGATCGACTCGTGGCCGAAGGCATTATTACGCCAGTTTCCTATTCAGAATGGGCAACCCCGGTGGTGCCAGTGCTGAAACGTGACGGAACAGTCCGCATCTGTGGCGATTTCAAAGTTACTCTAAACCCAGTATGTGAAATGGAAAGTTATCCTCTACCCGTAGTGGACGACATTTTCGCTACGCTTCGTGGAGGGCAGCAGTTCAGTATCTTGGATCTACGTGATGCCTACAACCAAATTCTTCTAGACGAAGATTCGCGCAAGTTAGCGGTTATAAACACTCACAAGGGCCTCTTTTGTTATAACAGGCTACCGTTTGGGATAGCCTCGGCCCCTGCGATTTTTCAACGAACAATTGAGCAGGTGCTGCAAGGCCTCCCAGGGGTTCAAGCGTACTTAGACGACGTCCTGATAGCAGATGCGAACGATAAGCCAACTGCGAACCTGCAAGCAGTCTTGCAGCGGTTCAGGGAGTACGGCGTGAAGCTCCGCGCGGACAAGTGCCGAATAGGTGAGGAGTCAGTTACGTATCTAGGACACAGAATTGACGCGGCAGGGTTGCACCCGTCAGACAAGAACATCGAAGCAATTAAGCTGGCACCGACTCCTCACAATGTCACGGAATTGCGGTCGTTTTTGGGCATGCTAACGTTCTACAATAAATTCTTGCCTAATCTGTCCACGCTCCTGAGTCCCCTATACCTTCTTCTGGAAAAGAAATCGAAATGGTCTTGGGATGAGCGCGAAAACGATGCCTTCCGAAAAGCAAAAGCCGTTTTGTGTTTCGCGCCTGTGTTAACTCACTTCGATCCCGCACGAGAGCTATTTCTGGAGTGCGACGCGTCACCCTACGGTGTGGGAGCGGCACTATTCTACCGAATTGAAGGACAGTATCAGCCCCTTGGATTTCGATCCAGGACGCTTACTGCCGCAGAAAAGAATTATGCACAGATTGAACGTGAGGCGTTGGCTCTGGTTTATGGCGTCACGCGATTCCGAGATTATCTGCTGGGCAGACAGTTCACGCTTCTAACCGACCATCAACCACTGTTGGGTCTCCTAAGAGCGGATCGTCAGACGCCGGCTATGGCCGCTGCGCGCATTCAGCGTTGGGCCATCATACTTGGTGCCTACCGTTATCGGTTGCAACATCGACCGGGTAAACTCATGTGCAATGCTGATGCTCTTAGCCGTCTACCCCAACCGTTGCAGGAAGAAGTGGACCAGGAGGACGAAGCTCAAGTTCTGACCCTGGACCAGTGGGATCAGCCGGCCCTGCCATGGAAGGAACTCCAGGCACTCGCCGTCGCGGATGAGGTACTTTTCCAGGTACGCAAGTATACCCGGGAAGGTTGGCCGAAAAAACTCGACACGGAAACTACAGAAATCGCCGATTTTTACAAAAGGCGGCATGAGCTGTCTGTTAGTGAAGAACTTCTTTACTGGGGCCATCGCTTTGTAGTGCCGACAGCAGCACGCGGGAAGTTGCTAAGGCTACTGCATGAAGCCCACCAAGGAATTTCCACCATGAAGGCGAAGGCCAGATCGTTATTTTGGTGGCCCGGCGTAGAGCAAAACATCGAGCGCGTTGCGGCGACATGCCAAAACTGTGTGCAAGCGTTGCCGATGGCTCAGGCAAAAGAACCAGTAAATTGGCCCGAGACGCACGAAAGGTGGTCGCGGTTACATGTGGACTATGCGGGACCAGTAAAAGGGAAAATGTTACTCATCGTTGTCGACGCGCACACCAAGTGGATTGAGGCGCTTCCCGTGTCGCAGGCCAACTCGCATAGCACAGTCGAGGCCCTCAGAACGATATTTAGCCGTTTTGGTATACCGCGCACGGTGGTTTCTGACAACGGGACGCCATTCACGGCACGAGAGTTCGAGCAGTTCATGGAGCGCAATGGCATTGCGCATATTCGAACACCTCCCTATCACCCCCAGAGTAATGGACTAGCAGAGCGAGCCGTGCGCACTATCAAAGATGGCTTGAAGAAGATAGGCGGCACTTGCCTCCTCACCTCACTGGCACGTGTATTGTGCAATTATCGGAACGCACCACACCAGGAGGGTCCTTCTCCCTCAGAGAGGCTATTAGGATACCGTCTGCGCACAAGAATGGAGATGTCTTTTCCTTCCAGAGTCTATCCTACCAAAGCTGCGAGTGACCCAGGCTGGAATTTCGCACCGGGAGACTACGTGTACGTGCGAAATTACGGCGCCGGAGACAAGTGGTTCCCAGGCACAGTGGAGGCTACGCGTGGCACTCGCCTCCTGGAGGTAAAGACTGTGGATGGCCTTGTCCGCCGCCACGTGGATCAAGTTCGCAAGCGGAGCCCAGATGAAACGCCAGCAGCCGACGACATGTCGAGGCCATCTACACCGGTTTCCCCAGGGCCGGTACGACTAGAAACAACGGCGCCGGCTACCTCTCAGAGTACCCCAGAATCGCAACCATACGTACTACGTCGCTCCACACGAGCCAAGAAACCGGTCGTGCGTTTTGGCTACTAAGGGGGAAGAAATGCTGTAACCCATTGAACGACGCGACCCAAGCTCTCAAGTGCGCATGTGCACAATCTTATCCCCCTTCCCTCTCCCCCTTACTTTCCTATATATATTCACGAGTGTGAATAAAACTGGCCGTTCTTTTCTGTTGGCATGGTCCGACTGTCACGTTTACTGCTGGAGCGGCGTGGCCGCCTCCCAACTAACACTATGTGTATCAAATAAAAAGACTGCACGTTTTATATCACCCCAATTCTACTCCCCTTCTGACGTCAAGTACGAGAGGTTCAGAGCGATGTGTACCAACCGTTGATATGAGAGGCGAATGCTGGCGACGTTTTTCAGATCGGTGAATTCAAAATGAACCCACAGTGCTTTCTCCCATGCATTCCCTGTCTCGTTCTCACGCATAATGATACAATACTAATTATTCTTTACAATGTATTTATATATGGACATATAATATAGTAGATTGCTACATAATGCCGGATGTCTAATTATCACCTTTAATTGCTTCAAACTATCAAGAATAGAAGCTTTTAGCGTAATAGCACCTCAAAAGCAATATCTGAGGCCATAGCTAGTGTAAATTTTTTATTGCATTGAGGACGCACGATCTAGTAAATTACAATACCGTTACCATATTACACATATCATTCAAAGCTAATTTTCACAAACTGACATGGTCCCTTCGTCCGTCGCTTAAAGTTTACGAGTGCTATTCATAGCGCCGGCTGCTCCTATATAATGTAATCGCTAATTACGCCTGTCAGACCTTCGAATAAAGAGGAATAGCGTTACTAAATATAATAAAGGTAGCGCAGTCTCAACACTCTTTTGGCAGGACTGAAGAAATCACTCCATATAAGTTCTCATATTTCTTAGTAATAATTTGTATCCTATATTTATACATCAGTTCACTGATTCCCAACGAGTAGATACGTAATATATAACGCACTCATTTCGTATTATTCTCAGGAAGCTATCGCGTAATTCAAGTTTATGTTATTAGATAGCAGTGAGCATTTATAATCACACCATTTTATGTATGCATATATGCGTGTACTTGAAATTTTGCGAAAAGATTCTGAAACACCCTCGTGTTTGCGCCTAAGTGTTTCTGATACTTATGTTATTAAGGGACTTCTAAATAATCTTTAAGACCCTGAAAGCATGACATGCGAGCAAGAAAAGTTAAAGGAAGCTTTAGCGTGCCTTCAGGTGTAAAACGCGATTGCGTACAATTGGACTCCCGCGTGTACATTTATTTACCTGAAAAAATGTCGGAAATAAAACGATGTTTATGCGCGTAACATAGACCACTTTAAACTATCGTGAAATGCATACAGATTGTAAAGTTGTTGAGTGCACAGTGTGCAAAGAGAGGGCACAGGGCTTTGCGTAGCTAGCGTCATATAGTTTCTCACAAACACCTAGAGGGAAGTGTAGCGCCACCGTGTAAGCGAATTTTTTAAGGGGCGATGTTGGAGCGCTGGGAATGACGGTATATGTGTCTGCGAGGCTTGTGTTGGCTGGTGTTGAGTGAGCCTTCGGCTCAAAAGCGAATACAACTGCGTAAATAGAGCTTCTCTAAAACAAAACGTTCATAAGCGGATCTCCTTCACGTGTATTATAATCTAAAATAAAAGTCCACTCACCTTGGCTGCACAGCCAAACGGCGAAGGAAAGAAACAGACGACATAAACGTGGCAAAAAGAACGCTGGCTTTGTCGTGTGCCTGTCAAGTTTAGCGACCGTTGGTTACATCTTACGCTTCGTAAAACTGTACATCAACGTAGAAGGTTTTAGGGTTGAATACAACACGTTTCTTTGCAATGACAAAAATAAATACCTTATTGCGTACTCTTTTAGTAAGTAATTATTCATTTTAACGTGAAGTCAGACGCATCTTAGAGGTATAGAAATCTGAGTGCAGTACGAAGCTCACGCATCTCGCCATTCCCTTGCATCTAGCTGCTCACTAGCGCCAGATTTCCTCCTAGGTATGATTGTGAGAAACTTTATGGCCAGCGTAGCCGCGCGCCTTCTCTTCTTGTTGTGAGAGGGCGCGGTGCCACGACACTTAAACGCGCATGTGTGGTCCGTACCTTAGAGCTGTGCTCTAGAAAGGAGACGGCGCTCAGTTTCCGTTTGCCTTACACAAATGCTTAAGAGATCACGTAACTTATTGACCACGTGACCATTATGACTGAGCAGTCGCACGATGAATCCACCAACAGTTAGATAAATAGGCCGAAAAATATACATATCGCCCAGTGCGTTTGCTTGTTGAGCGAGTAACGATAGACACGAGCTGGCCCCTGATTCCCTGATTGAATGAAAGCGCGCAGTCAAAAGGTCGCAAATACAGCGACGGCTGAGACGCGTCTCTAAGCCATGCTTCTATTGGTACGAAAAGAGCGTCATTGTTGAGAGAACCTTAATTCCGTATAGAAGCCTCGAATGAGATAATTAAGTGGAGGGACAGCGCGGGGTCCCTAGAGACTATAAGGTGAGAGCGGGAGGTCCACCATCGTTAATCATTCAACGTTTTCCCGAGCGCGCCATTTTAATCTGGCTGCGAAGCCCACGCAATTGGCGCATTTATTAGTGCGCGCGAGTCCAGTCGCGCGCGTGCACACACACTTTCAAAGCTGCACACGCTCGAAGAGTCCGTATGATCTTCCGCCCGACAGGAACAAATCGGAGAGCGAGTCTTACGAATGCATCGCGGGCAAACACCCCGAAGAAGCCTCTTGCGAAGAGCGGCTTTCCTCCCTCTCTTCTCCTCCGCGTTGCCTGCCTTCGAAACGTCGCAGCAATGCGGCTATGCATCGAATGCCCCGCAGCAAGCGCCAGCCAACTTTATAATCCTCCGTCTCAAAGAGGACGCTGCGTCAATCGGAACGGGGCGTCGCATAGTCCTCGAGAGCGAATTACTTGTTAGCTTGAGTGGGTCCTGGGATTAAGCGGTGGCGCAAAACGCGATCACCTTGGCCTTCCTGTCCTGGAGCCCCGCCCTACGCAGGGATTAGCGATCGAGAGTCTAACCACGAATGACACCTCGCTGGAAGTGACACCGCATGCCAGGAATGCGAGGGAGCTCGAACGCAGAGCGAGAAGCGTGTTAGGGGCTCGTGGCGGGCCAAGGCGACGCAGAGAAGACTGCAGTGCGCCTGACCGAACCAGGGTTCGAACTGTTCTCTGCAGCTTTAAAGCACAGCGTCCAATGGAGGCTCCGCACCGATCGCACGCTGTCTTTGAAAGGGCGCGCTGTCTAAAGCCTATCGCTTCTACAAGCTCTCCGTCGAGGATGCGCCTCTATATACGCAATGTCGCTACCGCTGCGCCTCCATCGCTGGAGATAAAGCGGGACGCCGGGTCAATTAGATTGTCCCAGCTACACGATAAACTAGTGCACCGAACGACGCCTGGTATAGGGAAGAGGGGGGAGGAGGTATATCGTTCGGCGCCCGCCTATAGAGTCGCCTTCCCCACACCACACTTCTTCGAAAGCCGTAGTGGCTCGATGCAAACTCGAGCCAAAGTCACGCCTTCCCCCTATCTGTCCCCAAGTCTCCACCGCAGGTTCCTTTTATATCCGCTTCCTCGCCCGCGGACTTCCCATTAGAGCGGCCACATCAGTATTTTAATGAGCTTGTTGCCAGGCGAGGAGATGGTCGAAGCAGGGGCTATAGGAAAGCTAACGCCCCCTCCTTCCCGTTGCATTGAAACCACGGTTCTCGACGGGAAGTCTTACATCGTCGGTCAAAAGCCTCCTAACACCAGTACCCTCCCCCCCTTTTCCCTGTCTTTCCCTATTTGCTTCACTTCTGTTCGCGAGTATCTCTTTAATGAGTTACGTGTGCTTTCCAGTCGTTCTGTCTCTGAAGAAAAAGTGGCACTGGTGGCCAATCAAGCAAAGAAGTTCCTCCTTCTCAGCGGAGCTTTCTAAGCGAGCCGAAAGTACGGGCAAAAAATTGCCGAACGATGCCACTAAAAAGAATCGAACTTTCCTTTAATTCCCTCCACGACTAAGTTGCTCTCTATTCACGTTACCAGAAAGCATATAAAAAAAAAAGGTTCCCCAAACAAGTCGACAGAAACACGAGCAAATGTAACGAGACAGAGCTCTTGCTAGTCCGCCCTTTTTCCTGCTTTTTAAATTTATGTTGTTAGGGAGCGTAACATTCTAAAGAGAAACGAAGCAGACGAGGTGTTTTAATCATATGCATACTCGCTCGGTCGATTCGCGTACGCGACAACTTCTCAATCCGTTTTTCAAATCGAGATTAGTTTGGTCATTCGACCGCCACTCTGCATCACCCGCTTCTCTCTCTCTCTCTCATCTTTCTCCTTCTCTCCTCGTTCGTTTGACTTCTGTCGCGTCCGTAAAGCGGCGGCCTGTGATGCTGCCGCTGCAGGCGGTAACAAGGTGTCGGGATTAGGGAATTAGCTGTCCCGAAACTGGTGGCGACTACGCAATCCCTCCATGGGGTGTCTTGCAAAGTTGTTTTTTTTTTCTCTTTCATCGGTGCATTCCCCGGATTCAAATTAGCTTCCTGTTGAAACGAAGCACCGCTCGACCGTAACACACGTTGACACAAACGCCGAAGAAAAGGAAGATCGAAGCGGGGAAAGTTCGAAATCACTCCTTTCAAGAGCGTTTGCTGCTAAATAAGTGGGGAAGAGGGGAGGGGGGGACGCTTGTTGTAAAGCGAGCCTGATGACTCCAAGAAAAGCGAATGTTTCTGACTAAACGTGAGCTAATAGCTTTTGGAGTCGAGTAGCCAGTTCGAGAAGCAAACTCTTAATGATGTCATCAGCACCCTGATAGAACGCAAGCGACAAGTGGAACAAGCTTCAGTGATTCAACAATTTGTTACTCCCGCGTTTTTTCTTCATCACAAATGGCCCGGACACAAAAAGAGGGGATTTTTATTTAAGTCTTTGTCGCACGTACTTGCTGGAGGCAGAAGCGAATAGGTTTACGTTTGAAACTTTCG